GTGGGGAGGAAAGAAAGCAGGGATGCGCCGATGTATCAGCAGGACAATGGCACTATTGGCATTTAGCCAAAAGTGCAATTTCCGTCCGATATGTTTCGGTGGCCGATATATTGGTGCATTGCTAGTTCTGACCTAAAATTATGAATTTGGGTTTTATTGGGAATGGAAGTTATGATACATCTGTGCAAGATATTGAAGTACAGAGATATCACATTTTCAGAACAGGATCCATATAATCAGAGCTATGGTTCTATGGCAGTGAGAGTTGGACTATAGAAAAAAAAAGTCAAACCTTTCTTCTTGTGGTGTTGGAGAAAAGTGTTGAGAGCTTTTTGGACTGAAAGAAGAACAAATTATTCAATACTCGAGGAGCAAACCCAGACTACTCACTGGAAGGATTGACACTTAAACCAAAGCTCAGATATTTTGGCAACATTATGCAAAGACATACCTCACTGTTGAGTAATCATCCAATGCTGCAGAAGATTAAAGGTAAAGGAGATGTCAGAGGTTAAAGGGGAGAGAAAGTGTTCCTCATGCACTATATGTAAGGGTTATTAGAGTTTGGAGAGCAATTGTCACAGGCTTGGTGCATTAAAGCACATAAGGTCAGGGAGAGTCAACTACCTATACAAATGCTAGGTTGTGCATTATAAACTTGACGCTTGCACTGTATATGCTATGTTGTACATTATACTCCTGGGCCCTGCACTCAGGGCCGGATTCCCCACATGGCCACCGAGGCCTGGCGTCGGGGCGGCAGCGGTTTGAAATCTCCCGAAGCCCGGCACATACAGTTCCGGGCGCCGGATGGTAATTTGTTTTCTACATTTAGCCCTGCTTTGCACAAGCAGGGCTAAATGCAGAACTTGGAAACCACTTGTTTGTTTACAATTGATCTTGGCGATGTCAAGACTGCAGTGGTCCGTCCTCCCCCCGCCGCCGAGTCTCTCTCCTCGCTGGCCGCTTCAGGATGGAGAGCGGGTTATCAGAGCGGCAGGGTTAAAACTAACCCTGACGCTCTGTGTAAACAGTGAGTGGGGGAGAGCAGTCTTCCCCTCTCAGGTGTCACAGGAGTTTTAGCACAGTGCTGTGCTTGAACTACTGTATTGGAGGTGACAGGGTCAATAAAGAGAACCTGTCACCTCCAAATGCTATCACCCTGGGGCTTGTTAGCCCCTGTGTGATAGCAAGAAAGTTAAGTAAAAAAAATTTGATAAAAAAATAATTACATAAATAAAAAAAGTAAAAAATAATAAGTAATAATAATTAAATTAAAAAAAATTATTACAATTAATAAATACAAACTAAAAAATAATAAGAAAAAAATTATAAAAAATAATAAGAAAATAATTATAAAAAATTATAAAAAAGTAAAAGATGACAAGATAAATAAAAATGTAACAAGTTAAAAAAAATTAAAAAAATTAAAGAAACAATAAAAAAATTCAAACTAACCCTGCCGCCCCCGCTATCCAGTTAGCATTATCCAATGGGGGGGGGGTGTTTCTCAGTGATGGAGGCGCATTGAGAAACCTGGCCTTGGGGCAGCAGGGAGAGTAAATCTGGTCCTGCCTGCACTGTATATGTTATGCTGTACATTATAGTCCTGAACCCTGCATGATGTATGCTATGTTGTACATTATACTCCTGACCTCTGCAGTGCATATGCTATGTTGTACAATATACTTCTGACCCCTGTGCTGTATACACTAGGTTGTACATTATAGTCCTGACCCCTGCAGATTATACAGTAAGATAAATTGTACAATATACTCCTGACCCCTGCACTGTGCACACTATGTTGTACATTATAGCCCTAACCGCTGCACAGTATATGCTATGTTGTACATTGAACTCCTAATGTAATTTCAAAATTGATTTGAAATATTTTAAATCTATAGCTTTTACTAAAATAATTCCTGGTCTTCCTATCATGAAGGTTCAGGCATGTCTTGTCTCCCATCTGTGCTCTGGCATGGTCAGGTGGGCTTCTGATGGAGATTACGAGTGTCTGTTTAAACACAAATTACGCAGGTATCATTCACTGTCACCATCAAGAAACCCGCCCTGAGAAATGGCAAACAGCCATCGCTGGGTTACATGTAGACAGGAAGCGGCTTCAAAGAGACTACAAAAGATGAAAAAGAGGGGAAATTATTTTACCCCCAAAAAAGTATTTTTTTCTGATACAGCAAAGTAAATGTAATTGAAATTAGATTAAAGGCCTAACGTTTTTTTTTTTTTTTTTTTACATTTGCTATTGTCCATTAATCACAGTATTTCTTTTAATAAAGATTTTATGTCTCTGCTATGTTTTCTGCATGGAAGAACTGAACACAATACTTTCAACATTTCCCAGCTCTGGTGCATCCCAGGAACGGCTGTCAGTCTTTGGCAATGAAATTTCAGTGCCTATGACATTGCAGGCTTTTATAAACACTTGGGAAGATTCATGAGGTATCATTTATATTAAAATATTTCCGCATTCTCTGACTAAGCAGGACTTTGTATTTGTTACTAAGAGTTATAAAGTTAAAGGATGAAGTATTTGCTACCAATGAGGCAACACATATGTTGTACACATGTTTATAAAAAGTCCTTATAGATGTAATAGATGAGGTACATATAAATATATATATATATACACAAGATAGTCAGAGAGGGCCCCATGACTTGATTGTGAACACAACAGACTGTTCCATTTCAAGAAACAAGTGTAAAATATACTCTTATGGCATGTAGACAAAAGACTAGTCACAATGTATGAAACAAATTTATCAATCAATTGAACAAAATAATGAACACCAACATTTAATGAGAACAAGAACCTTTTACCTACAGCTTTCATTCCTCTTGTACAGGTGTCACACAGGACCTGGATGATGTGTAGCGGGATATTGCATCATTCTTTGATGCTCCACTCCCTAAGTGATCAAGTAGGTGGAAAACGACTTCATATTCTGTATTCCAGCACTTCTCAAAAAGGTTCATTGTTGTTTAAAGATAAGAGCATTTTCAAACAAAATGTACTAATGCTTCTTTTCGCTTCACTGCAGCCATGGCCACATTTGCTAAGTGCAACTTCGCAGAATGATTTGAATTGCTCTTTTTCTGGTCCTGAGCTCAAAAATAAAAAGGTTTGTTATGCTATGGGAGCATCTAGAAAAGTTAATCGTGCCTAAGATTTACTTGTGGCCTTGAATTCCTCCTGCAAAAAAGCAGTGCACTTTCTGTTATGTGAATGTGTCTAGAAATGTATGTGTCTGCAGCCTCATAGATGTATATCTGCAGTGTGGGATCTAAGGCACTGCAGCCTCTGACTGCTGGTCTCAGGAGATTTGGAGTGAGGTTTGGTGATTTTACTACTGTGCTGCTTGCTGGAAAGCAATCTGTACCTGAGGATGTGCAATGCAAGCATCTTCCAACTTCTACTTAATTTATGTTGATGACAAAATGTAACAAAAGCAAAGAGTTTTTCCCCTGAGGGAATCCCACCATAACTCCAAAGTATTCAAAAGTATAGTAAAAATATATATTTTTAATGAATAAATAAAAAATGCACACATTTTAAAAAAGACAGACATATATATTTTATATAAGAAATTCGTCTACCCCAATAAAGGGTTAACATACACGTGTATGAAAAGATGTTGTGAAAGCACTCACGGTACTGTTTATCCCTTTTTTCGAAGGAGAATGAAGGTCCACAAGTAAGATTTCACCTGCACATAGATTCAGACTGTGGATAGACTCGGTTCAGGAGAGGAATTATCCCTTTCTCGGCTTTTTTGTAGCTCCGCGGTAATTGTAGTGAGCCTTCGCTGAAGGAGTATCCTTATCTCGGCTTTTTGAATGTTGACCGCTAATCCGGCTAGCCTTTACTGAACCTTTGTCTTCAGTTGTGCAGTGTCTACGTCTTGAGCGGGATGAAATCCCATTAATTGGGTAAACAGATCATCGATTTGTGCTTGGTCTCTTGATCGTCCCAGACTTAAGTGTTTCAAAGATTTAAACGTTTGTAGATGGTATATAGAAGTTATTTCTCTCCTGGTTTCGCAATATCATTGATATGCCGTAAAAATATTTTAGATAGATGCGGCGGCCATTGCCGATAACTGACTTGCAGAGACACCAAGCCTAACGCCTATGACGTGGGGCTTTGTCAGAAGGGCGTTGTCTGGCGTGCATTGAAGCCTGCAAAGCATTGCAACTATGATCAGTGGATCACGAGTGCAATGCACAGGATCTTGCAGACTATTCCTGCAGCATAGTTCCTTACCAAGGTCCAGACCTTCAGTTATGAGGTTTGAGGAACTTATCAATGGATGGGGACACCAACACATTTGTGCTCCTTTGAAGCCTCTGTGCTGTGGTGGCAAATGGAGACTTGTAGTCTTTGCATTCATAGATCTTTTGAATTGGCCTGTGAATGAATAACGCGGCTTTGCCGACAGTGCGGTGTATTAAAAAAAACACAATATGGTAAGGGGAGAAGAACCCTGCGATCTAGTAAGGGGGAGTGGTTAGGTGGTGGTGGGAAGGCTGTGTATTGTGACCATGACTTCTGCCACAAATTAAAAAAATAGTCCCCAGCACACCAAAACAAATTATGTCAATTCTTCTTTATTGACAAAAGAAAGGTATGTTACAATGTGTAGCTACGTTTCAGAACCAGTTTGGTCCCTTCTTCAGGCAGACAGAGTGAAAGGACCATGGTTCAGAAACGTCTATCACTCCATTTGCCTGAAGTGAGTAATCGCTGGCAGTTCATGTTCCAGACCCCTCAACAGGGCTTGTGCCACAAGACAGTGCCAAAAGAGATGCAGAGCAGTTTCTTTTTCGGTGATACATCAGGGGCAATGTCTGTATCTGCACAGGTTTCTGGCATGCATAAAAGTTCTCAAAGGCAACCCAACCTGGTTCCATGCCAGATCTTTGTGCCTGTTGGTAAGTCTCTTAGATGACACACTGCTCCAGACAAATTTGCAAGTGTCCAGAGACAGGCCCAGAACAGTCTTGACAGTGTCCTTAGCTCTGATGAGCTTGTAGATAGTCTTCGGTTTCCATAAGTCAGGTTTAACTCCATGTAGTCCATGCTCCCTGATGAACGTGAAAGTGTCCAAGTAAAACCAAGGAGTGTTACAGTTGTAAGGGACAGAACTGTCCCATTTGTCCAAAGAGGCAGGGGGAAAAAACGGGACATGGAATTCCCCCGAAGAGTCCAAAGTTCTAGCAATCAAAGTCCTGCGGATGCAGTTACAAGCAAAGAAAACCCTCAGCATGGTGGCAAGGCAATGGCCCACTGGGCCCCCCCCCCCTCTCTTATCCCCCCGCATCCCCCTTCTGATGCCACTTTTGGAGAGCTTCGAATCTGCAGGTGGAGATTGCAGTACAGTCAGGGGAGGCTCTGAAAGTCCTGCTCATTGTAGCTGCAATGGATCATGGGAATATTATTTAAACCATGAATTAAGGTAAATTATATGACCGTTTTTTGTGCCGAGCCATTTTTGTGTCTTTTATTATCAGCAAATAAATTTCATTTGGAGTTATTCCATAAGTGTATACATAAGAAAAATATGCCATGCCATACATAACTCCGGTGGTATGTAAAACATTGGAAAGCTGTGAAAAGTGAGCACTGCAGGTCACATGAGTGAAATTCCTCCTATCCAGACCACTTTTTTTGCATTTGCTTGGTATGTTCAGATAATTAATATTCTTCAAATTGCAGAGGAACCAAGCCAAAATAACAAGGCAGGATATTGTAAAGAATTTTACAAATTCACTTGACAATAAGTCAGGATAAGCCAGCAGTTCTGATCTGCACAGGGCTGGATTAAGAGCATCAAGGGGCCTGGTGCTGAGGATTTTAGTGGGCTTTTTTAACCGCTTGAACACCAGGTGTTTAGACCCCCTTCCTGGCCAGGCCATTTTTCAGTATTCAGCGCTGCAGTACTTTGACTGACGTTTATTCCGTCATGCAACGCTGTACTGAAATGAATTTTATACCATTTTTTTGGGACACCTAGAGCTTTCTTTTGGTGGTATTTAATCACCACTGGTTTTTTTTTTTACTGTATTCAGGAGAAATTACTGAAAAATTTGAAAAAATTAAAGTTTTTTACATTATGTTATAAAACAACTAATATTACCCACTTTTTTGATAACAGCAGAGCGGAGAGGGGACCGGAGAGAGACAGCGGAGAGGGGACCGGAGGGAGACAGCGGAGAGGGGAACAGAAGTGCTGTAATATACACCACTTACGCATTCTGACAGCGGAGAGGGGACTGGAGGGAGATCATGAACTGACCTCCCTCTAATCCCCTCTCAGAGAGCCACTATGCTGGTCCCGGGCTCACACCGGGCACAGCGGAGCCCGGGATCAGCGTGACAGCGGGAGGGGGGGCTGCGGAGAGGGCGCACATATCGGAACCGTGCGGTGCGCACAAGTGGGCGGATCTAACAGGACGTATATACACGCCCAGTTGCATCCAAGAAGCTCCCGGCCGGCCGTGTATACACAACGGCTGGCCGGGAGGTAGTTAAGGAAATGGTGATGATCACAAGAGCCCTTTTCCTCCTGTCATGGGGCTGTGATTTATAGTCTCTCTACAGCTTGGAGTCAGTGGTAGAGCACCAGGACCCAGTAGCAGCTGTGACCCTGGTAGATCTGCCACCGACTCCAAGCTGTAGAGGCACTATAAATCTTAGCAATACATTATACAGCAATGCAGAATACTGCCAACTATAGAGGACTACAAATCCCTGTAAAACATTATACAGCAATGCAGAATAATACCACCAACTATAGAGGACTACAAATCCCATCAATACCTTATAAAGAATGCAGAATGGCACCAGCAATTGAGGACTACGAATCCCAGCAATAAATTGTAAAGCACTTCAGAATAATACCATCAGCTATAGATGACTACAAATCCCAGCAATACTTTATACAGCAATGCAGAATAATATGAAGCTATATAATATGAAGCTACATACACTCTGTTCCCCAACTTTGGGAACGGAGAGGGGAGCCTCCTCCTTAAAGTGATATTAATTGTCAAAAGGTTTTTAAGCTATTTTAAATGCTGATGAAATCGCTTACAATGAATGTTGCTTCTTGATGTTCAAAAAGTCGAAGTGAACCCTGTTCAGCCATTCACGTCAGCCATGTACAACTGATTTTTTTGCAGTACATCGGCTGGTTTTGGCTCCCTTTGGTTCAGCCGAACAGCCTTGGTGTGTTCTGCTGACCAGAAGTGAAGAACACGTTCGCCTCAGCCAAACCAAGGTTCGGCTATATCCTTTGGCTCTTTAGTGAATAACCCCGTTAGTATCCTGCTGGTCCTCTGAGCACTGGCCCTGATATTCTGTTTTAGAGTGGCTACTTTTCCTTGCAGGGTCCTATGAATCCACCCTGTGCAGGTAAGCTGTGTGTATCTCCACACACACAGCGAAGCAAGACACTCCACACTCCCTCCATACTCCCCGCTATATTGCAACAGTATTATTGTGTGAGTTGATACACTATGGCATTGTCTTTAATCTGGGTGCTTTTTCTTGATGTCCAGTATTGTTGACAGTATTTTTGAAAATGCCTTCTGGCGGGAATATGACTTCACTATGACGTCAGGGGGGAGGGGCAGGGGCGTATTTACCGCGAGGCAAACAAGGCGTTTGCCTAGAGCGGCACTTTCCTTGAGAGCGGCCCCAGGCAAATGCCTTGTACTGCGTAATGACAGCATGTTTGTAAAAGCTCCGTTTAATGTACGGAGCCTGCTTGTGGAGGAGAGGGGGGAGCCGGGCACAGAAGCAGACGTGAGGGGAGAGCCCAGCAGTGAAGAGCAGTCAGCCGGCCACAGAATAAACAGTGGCACAGCATGCTTTCTATTGGATTTTACACTTGGGGTTAGGGTATTTAAGATGAAGGTTATATGGATGCTGTTGTCATACTAAAACCTGATGAAGCGGACCCTGCATGGCCCCAAAACGTTCTTTTGCGACAGTCTGCATCAATAAAGAAGATGGATTATTGACACAGGTCATAGGTGTGCTGGTAACATTTATCATATATTTGAAGATGCCCGGCGCCATCCGTCGTTACTACAGCACCCTCCTTTATACATAGGGGTTTCGGTAAGTGCAGCAGTTCCTCTCTAAGACCAAAGAGAACAAGACACCACACCCCTATAGTCATATATACAAAAAACACTGTACATTAAGTACGGGGCTTTTAAGGTGTCATACCAGGAACAAAATAACCACAATTACATTAACATCATCATATTACAAATGTATTGTTTCAAAAAGGTAACATAGCCTTGTATTAAAACATATAGGTCAAACCGCTGATGTACAAATAAATCCCAGATCGCGGCTCCTTTCAGAAAAATCATATCTCCTACCAAAGCTCAATACCTCCCTTGACCACATATACACATTCTGTACATGATTAATTCAATAGTTTTTTTAACCAATAGACGCTTCGTAATTAATGACTGCATATGTCTATTTTATAATCATGATTTTAGTCCTTTAGACATCAATGTGCAATGGGTCCAGTCTTCAACGCCTTTCGCCGGAGCTTCCTCAGGAAGATAGGAGGTTGTTGGTTTATGAAAATTTGATGGTGGATATATACACACACATCCGTGGGATGCCCCCACACACACAGTCCAGGAGATATGTAAAATAAGGAGCGAAACAGGAACGGCAGGATATGCAGGCTGGTATTTTTCCATATATGCCCCATGTTGATAGGTACTATCATACCATATCATACCATAGGCCCGCCCCAGCCGCAAACGTCACACGCAAGGAATTTCAGATGGTGTGTTATGCTGCAGCGAGGATTGAATAGGGAGGAGATGAGACGGTAGGACTGCTCGTAGAAGAGGATAGGAAGTACCTATCAACATTTGGCATATCAACGCAATGCATGTAAATGCACAAAATACTTCACAATGATGTGTGAATGGGAACGTTCAGCAACGGAACGGCACATTGTATTGGGGGCCTTTGTGTTGGAAGAACCAGAACATGTTAGACGCTGTGCATATGTTTACTTAGCAGTCCGTGAAATAATAATCCTTTTTTATTTTTTGGTGCCATGTAGGAAATGTACCGAAAATAGTATTTATAATAGTAAATATAAATTATCATTATTATTATAGTAATTATAATAAAAAGCAATATAATGGACCTCAAACTGACCAGGATGTTCTATTTTGCTGTTCGTACGGCTGTGATTGAAACCTTCTGTGAAGAATATGCCTGTGCGTGATAGGTTCAGACAAAAATTAATAGACGGCAGTATGCTGACCTACTAAACAAAGAGCACAACAAGGAAATAACTACAAACAGACTTTATTACTTCACTGCTTATTTTAGGCTCATTCTGATGGTGTCTCGTGGCTGTATCTTCATCCGTTTTTTAGAATGAATCAAGTTAAAAAATATTGTAGGTTACCATAGCTAAAGTTCCTTCTGAATATGCTCCTTGCCTGGGATTCATGGTGATCCAGTGGTTTTACCTGTTTCTGACTAGGGTTACGAGTTTTCATTTAAAGTAGAACTGAAGCCAAAACTTTTTGTTTTTTAGTTTTGTATAGAGCAAGGGAAGGTGATAGCCCCTGTCAGCTTTTTTGTCATCTGTGTCCCACTGGGGAGATTTCCCTTCACTTTCTGCCCAATAGCAACAACAGTTAATGGTCATCAGAGTCAGCAGAACTAGTGTCCCCAACATCTCATTTATTCCTGTTCTGCTGACAACCCAAAATTTTAGATTTTCTTTCACTTTCAGTGATCACCGGGTCAAATAGAAGTCACCAGGACAAATAGAAAGGGTGAATCTCCCTAATGGGGACACAGACAGCAATAAAAATCTGACAGGTGTTCCAATTCCTCTCCACTCCATGCAAAACTAAAAAAAAGGTTTTGGCTTCAGTTGCACTTTATTTGAAATTTCAGTAAGACTTGGCAGATTTCAATGAAATGCATTCGAGTCCACGAAAAGGCTAAGGGGTCTATTCACGAAGCAACCGAAGGATCTAGCCGTAGCTTCGGGACCCCTTTGGTTCAGTAGAACCGAAGGGCTACTGTACCGGCTATTCACAATAGCCC